CTCAGTGCTCACAGTAGGGATACCAGATATAGTCCAGATGTTACATTTGTTTACCTGACAAACTGAATTTTAGACAAAAAAAAAAGAAGGGTATAGGTTGCTGGACTGCTTTACACAGTGCTGCCTGTGTAACCACCTTTGATGACAAAAGGTACAAGTGGCAAGTGCTGAGAGACCACTTTGCTTTGTTAGTAAGTATAATATCATTCAACAATTTGGGTTGTTGTCAGGCTATGCTTGCTATTCTGTTTCTGGAAAGCTCAGAAACAAGTTAAGTATTGTGCAAAATCATGAATGATATTTATTAGAAATTATCATGATAATATACATACATGAGATAACTATCATTTACAAAATAAATACTAGGTAATGACAATGTTCTTCCTAATAATATACATTGGGGGGGATTTATCAAAACTGGAGCAGAGAGAATCTGAAGCATGTGATTTGCACTGCAGCACTGAAGCCAATCAGCTTTTCTGTCTCTTTTTTAAATCTTACGTGAGCAAACTGAAGAGAGATGCTGATTGGTTGCCATGGGCGACTGCTCTAGATTCTGTTTGCTCCAGTTTTGATAAATTCCACCCATTGCATTTTTGCCCAGCAACTTGGTCAGAACATTGTTTAGGGCAGTGCTCCCCAACCTTTTTATCGCCGCGGACCGGTCAACGTTTAATAATTTTACCGTGGCCCGCTGAGGGGGGGGGACGTTGATTGTTTATATTTTATAATATATATATCATTATTATAATTAATTATAATATATTATTACATTAAATACGTATCTGTATTTATTTCATTAATATTAATGGAGGTTGGAGTTACGCCGCACCCACACGTGTGACACATTAGTGCCCGCGTTCTGGTCCAGTACAATCTGCACAAAATAGTGCATGCAGCATTTTTGCAGATCGCACTGGACCGGAAAACGCAGGCACTAATGTGTTACGCATTCCGGTGCCGCGATCGCACTGCAGGCGGGGGGGCGAGGCTTCAGTACCATTGAGTTCAATGGACCACCACGCCCCCACCTGCCCCAAAACAAAGTGAGCCACCGGGTTGCATTCCAGAGGCTGAACGCACTGGCACGCACTCCTTATGGTGGGACTGGGCCCTTAGGGCTTGTTCACACAAATTACGGTGCTTTCCAGAGCGGTAGCTGCTGGAACGCACAGCAATCACTCACAAATCTTCCCGCTGAGTTCAGGGGTGGGAGGGGGCGTTGCGGTGCATTGAAGTCAAAGGCACTGCAGCCACCTCCCGTAGTGCGATCGGATGCGTGGCAAAATATTGCCTGCGTTCTGTTCCACTGCAATGCTGCTTGCGCTATTTTTTGTGTTTGCAGTGGAATGGAACGCAGGCAATGTTTTGCCACACTTCCCGATCGCACTGCGGCGGGAAGGCGAAGCAGTGCCATTGAATTCAATGCACTGCCACGCCCCAGAACGCAGGGGGAAGTTTTGTGAGCGATTGTGGTGCGTTCCAGCAGCTGCCACTCTGGAACGCATCACAATTGGTGTGAACAAGCCCTTAGACACTGAATTCCTTTTTTTTTCCTACCCTGTATTTTTTATATATTGTACAAAGTGCAGGTCCGGGGGTTGGGGACCACTGTCCTATGTGATCAAAGTAGATAGATATTAATTAAGTGTCTCGTTTAGGAACCTATAAGTGATGTATCTCTGTAATAAAAAGATATATGTAATCTCCATGATTTGTTTGTGAAAAAATTCCAATAAAAAAGTTTTATAAAAACAACAAAAAAGTCTCTGTGGTGTACTTTTTTGTTGTTTTTATAAAACTTTTTTATTGGAATTTTTTCACAAACAAATCATGGAGATTACATATATCTTTTTATTACAGAGATACATCACTTATAGGTTCCTAAACGAGACACTTAATTAATAAAAAAAACTACTATTCGCCCCCTTACACCCAACACCCCCTCCCCCTGCGCCGGCGCTCGGACTTACCCAGGCAGGGAGTTTTCGATGTGTGCACTGCAGGGGGTGGGGCGGGACGTGTGACACACACACGCCTCCTGTGACTCACCTCCCCTCCCGCCTCCTGTTACTATGGACGCGGCCGGGAGGGGAGGTGAGTCACAGGACCCGCCCCCTCACTGTGAAGCCCGTCGGCAGTGCGGGGCCCCGGTGTTCGAACACCGGGACCCTGCACTGCCCCATATTGCAGGACCGGACCGCACTGAAACTGTGCGGCCCGGTACCATTTGATCCGCGGACCGGTAACGGTCCGCGGACCGGGGGTTGGGGACCACTGGTTTAGGGTATATTTTTGTTTGTCATCAAATATATTTCTAGTACATCTAGTCTAGTACATTTAATTAAAACAAATACATAAAGTATAAAAAATTAAGATTGTCACAGGACCCTATTCGAGCATTAAAATACTGGAAATGTATCTAACAACATTCAAAATAACTTTTTTTCTCCAAGGCCTAATAAATTGAATCCCATAAAAATTCAGCTGTGAAAAATGTTGAAGTCTGTTGCAAATGTTACTTATTCAAGGTAACCTTTCCACCATACATTTTCCAAGGTTATCATCTCTTTCTCTGGGGCCTAGTAAGAATACAGTCATTCCAAATGTCAAGTTTATATCTCTCCTCAACACATTAATTGTGCAATTTTATTCCTTATCCTCCGAACTTTTCTATAGTAATATAACATACAGTATGATTTCGATTTGGAGAAGGAGCACCACATTTCAACTAGAGTTGCTCTCACCCTTCCAATCTCAGTATCTCACAGTATAAATTAAAGCTCTGTTCAATGTAAAATCAACTTCTCTAAGATCTGTTTCAATAGATCGTTTTACACACCTTCTAATAGCCGTTCTCTATTAATTCTCCCACCTCAGGCAAAGTTTTTTCATTACTTATAAATATATAATTTTTCATGATTAAAAGGTAATTATTAACTACACACACATTAAAAACACAACCCTAATAAGGATTGTTTTATCCCAAGTCCCTTTTTAACTGGATGGCTTTCCAAGATGAGTCATGTTTTATCCGTGGTATTTTGACACTCTAGTTTCAGCAAACCTAAATAGCCCCCTATTTGCCTATAAGAAAAATTAGTCAGAAACACAGAGATTTTCTCTAAGTTTCACAAAGGGAATTAAATCTCCTTTGATTAGTAACCTACGGTATCACACATTTAATAAATTAATCCTGGTATAAACTTTGCATTCCCTCTAATAGGCAGATAGTATAAGTTGTCATACTTACAATCTGGAGATTTCCAAAACAGCTTCCAAGCCTTTATAGTGTCTCTCAAAAAAATGTCAATTCCCAATTCCTGCGGCATTCATTGTTTATTGTATGTAATAAATCTGCCAAAGAAACACCCTTAGCTAATTGGTGCTCCAACTCCAAATCAATAAAACTATTATCAAGAGCCAGGCTATAGCAGGTTTTATTAACGTGGGGTTGCTTGATGTAGGCAACACCACCCCATGATTCATATACTGCTAGAATATAATGCATATGGCAATTGACAACATCCATCTAATCTATTTCTTAAAAGCAGAGGTCCTCAAACTTTCTAAACTAAGTGTCAGTTCACTGTCCTATAGACCTTAGAGTGGCTGGCCAGTGGGAGTAGAAAATGCCCCAGCAAAATTTGGCAGTGAAAGTAAAACAATGTTCCAGGATCAGTGGTCAGTAGGAGTAAAAAAAAAATGCATCAAGGTTGGTGAGCAGTGGGAGTTTAATAAAATGGCTTGGCATTTGTAGTTAGTAGGAGAAGACATAATTCCCCTTTATTGGCGTTAGTGGTAGAATAATGCCCTATTGATGGTGTCAGTGGGAGGAATAGCAAAGGCTTCATCCAGTCCATGGGTCATAGTTTGTGGACCACTGCTCTATAGTCTATGCTTAGTAGACTTTAAAATGGGGCTGTCATTCTTATCCGTTTCTTACTACTTGGCGAGCCAGTAACCTGGAAAATGCATATAAATTTTAAGTGACAAGGTACTACATACACAGATGTTGTCCCAAGCCATTAAGCAGAAAAGGAAGGATTAGGATGGCAAAATTGAAGAGTGAATGTTTAAAACACATCTGCAATGATCACTCCCATGTTTCTAACATGCCTTATTCCCCTTCATATCTCTATAGACCACTCTTGCTCTCTTATGCTCCACTATCCCTGCACCTCAATATCTTCTCCCACTCTCCTCTGCTCTTATCCTGCTAGTAAATGCACTCAGTTTGGAGTTTTGTTGTGTGCTCTGTTTAGAATGTCACAGTAAATGCAAATCTGGATTTATTGATGACAAAGCTGAAATAAGCTTCTAAGTGGTTAGAGAAGTTCATTTCTGGTTACTTTGCAGGTATATACCAAACTGAAACCTTTAAAATCAGAAATATTTCTATTTTGCTCCCAGTCATAAATTGTTTTGTCTTCCATGTCATCTGTTTGTCCCTTTGTCTGGCACTGCTTTCCAAATGCCATCAGATATTCTCCAACCTTCCAAGTCTCTCAGTACACACCTAAAACCTATCTTTTCAGAAGAGCGTAAAATGTTCAACAAATGTCATCTATGCATTCCCCTTTTAGACTGTAAACTTTTGTGTAGAGCTCTCATTTCTACTGTGTCATATATTTTTTTTATTTTTTAACGTTACTGTTTCAGCCCTTGTGTCCTTATGTTGAGCAGTGCTGCAGAATATGTTGGCCCTACATAAATCAGTAATAGAATAGTAGCTAACTGACACAACAGGGCAATGATGGGACCTCAGAAGTGCTCAACATACTGGGGGGGAATTTATCAAAACTGGAACAGACCAAATCTGGAACAGCTGTGCATGGCAAGCAATCATCTTCTCTCTTCCGTTTGTTCAGTTAAGATTTGAAAATAAAAGAGAGAAGATGATTGGTTGCCATGCACAGTTGCTCCAGATTTTGGCTGCTCCAGTTTTGATAAATTCTCACTGTCTCAGAGCATGCCTAGTATGATCACCTCTCACTCACTTGTATAGTTTCTTGCATGGCGAGCACTTCTAGATCCTTTTCTTCCAACAGCAGGCGTACACCAGACTCCAGATGTGCATATGGGTGCGAACGGCCATCCGGTCTGTAAGACAATGTGACAAAACAGACTTGTCAATGGAACTTCCTATTAAACTACTAGCATAGATAGGTAGAACAACAGAAAAACAACAAAAACAGATGGTTTACATAAATCAATCCAACCCTGCATTAACCCCTCACCCTGGTCTTAGGATCATAAATCTCCCTGGCTGTGTACTTGGGTTTGACCTCAGAGTGTGAGATGCTTTGCTGACTAAACAACATTATACATACAGAGCAATCAAGGTCGTAGGAGAATGGAGGCTGAAGTTTTCCCTTACTGCAGATTACAAGACTATTTGTGGTTTGGAGCAGTGATTTAGTTACAGGGTTGTTTTTGTGTTACGTTGAAGGATTTGTTAAACAATGCATATATGTATTTCCCAAATGTTCTAACATGAAACTGCTTGCCATGTGAACTGGATAAGTGAATTCAAATCATGTTACTGTGAAAGAACATGAGGAGGATGAAAGATCTTGGCATGAAGTTATTTTTGCCAGAGATTGTTAAACAAGAACTCCGGGCAAATTAAATCGTAACCTTTGCAGTGGGGCTACTCCTCCACCACAAGGGTTAAGTCCTCATTTTGTCTATGGAGCTAAAATAGCAGAGATATACTCACCGAACCATGAGCCCGGCTGGCTCCTAGACCGATCCCTTCAGCCTGTCTCCGCATCAGCAATGGGATGTCTGTCGACTTCCTCACATCCAATACACTGAAGGAACCAGTCTAGGATCCAGCCGGTACTGCGGTTCGGTTGAGTATAATTCTTATTTTAGATAAACCTAGAGAAAATAAGCACTTAACCCTTGCAGTGTGGGGGTCAAATAAAAGTGCTGTAAAGTAAGAATGCATTCAGAAATAAAAGTATTAAGAGTTTATTTTTATCAATTAACAAAATGGAAAGTAAATGAACAGAAGAGAAATCCAAATCAATATTTGGTGTGACCACCCCTTGCCTCAAGCATTAATTCTTCAAAAAAATAGCAGCAGGTGCCCTGTACTGATGAGTCAAAATTTGAAATATTTGGCTGTAACAGGAGGCAGTTTGTTCGCCAAAGACGAAGCATGGAGGTGGTTCCTTGCAAGTCTGGAGCTGCATTTCTGCCAATGGAAATGGAGATTTGGTCAGGATCAATGGTGTCCTCAATGCTGAGAAATACTAGCAGATACTTATCCATCATGCCATACCATCAGAGAGGCATGTGATTGGCCCCAAATGTGTTCTGCAGCAGGACAACAGCCCCAAACATACAGCCAATGTCAATAAGAACTATCTCCAGCGTAAAGAAGACAAAGGAGTCCTGAAAGTGATGGCTTGGCCCCCACAGAGCCCTGATCATCATTGAGTCTGTCTGGAAAGAGACAGAAGGATTTGAGGCAGCCTACATCCACAGAAGATTTGTGGTTAGTGTGACGGACCCCCGTACTCAGGATGAGTATGTCCGCCGCTGTCTTCTTCCTTGCTGAGGAGATATTGGAACCCGCTGATCTGTAGCTCCCAGTTTTCCCAGTCACTGGTCGGGACTCAGTGTAGGGTAAACAAACTCTGCTTTATTGAGCAACTGCACAAACCTTAATACAGCAAGTGATGAAATCAGAATATAATCCCATCACATCCACCCTCCCCTCCCAGACAATCTGTCTGCTCAACACCACAGGTGTCCATCTGCTAACGAACTCCAGACAGCCATAGCAGGAGCCTGGCCAGAATGTCATTGTTCTGAGCTCCCTCAGAGAACAATGGGAGATAATGAGGGATGGTGCTGATGGTCTTTCCATAACCAGGTTACTCAGTATAACGCAGTCAAAACATAACTCAACCCCAATACACATTTAACTTATAAACTCATCACCGTGTCGTCACAGTTAGTTCTCCAAGATGTTTGGAACAACCTACCTGCCGGAGTTCCTTCCTGTGCAAGTATACCTAGAAGAATTGATGCTGTTTTGAAGGCAAAGGGTGGTCACACCAAATATTGATTTGGAGTTATCTGCTGTTCATTTACTTTCCATTTTGTTAATTGATTAAAATTAACTATTATTTCTGAAAGCATTCTTACTTTACAGCATTTTTTCACTCCTGCCTAAAACATTTGCACAGTACTGTATGAGGGGAATATATCAAAACTGGAGCAGAAAAAAATCTGGAGCAGCTGCGCATGGCAACCAATCAGCATCCACCTTTCATTTTCAAAGTTTAACTGAACAAACTGAAGAGAGAAAGCTGATTGGTTGCCCTGGGCAAGTGCTCCAGATTGTTTGCTCCAGTTTTGATAAATTCCCTGTGTGGGAAGTGCATTCAGAAAGTATTTAGACCCCCTTCACTTTTTTCAATCTTGTTATGTGGCAGCCTGATACTACAATTGTTTAAATTCTTTTTTTTTCTCATTATTCTACACTAAGTACCCATAATGACAAAGTGAAAACAGAATTTTAGAATTGTCTGTGAATGTACTAAAAAGAAAAAAAACTGAAATATCACATGTACATGTTAGAACCCTTTGCAACAACATTTGTCCCCGAGGTCTGCAGGCAGTTCCTTTGACCTCATGGATTTTGCTTAGATACAGTATGCATTGTCAGCTGTGAGGCCTTCTATAGAAAGGCGTGTGCCTTTCCATATCATGTCCAATCAATTTAATTTACCACAGGTGGACTCCAATCAAGGTGTAGAAACATCTCGGGAACGATTAAGGTCTCATTCACACTGCTTAAAGTCGGCCGTACAGATCCGTGCGGCGTGCACAGCCGTACCGGGCCGATCCCGGGAAGGATAGGTGCTGCGTGTGATTGTACGCAGCAGCCTGTTCTTCTCTATGGGAGTACGTGGCCGTACGCTCACCCGAGCTGCACATCTGTGCGGTTGCAAGTGTCCGTACTTATACGCAGACAGGGTGGATCCGAGCACAAACGTGCAGTTCGGAAGAGTGTACGGCAGTGTATCGTCACGTACTCCCATAGAGAAGAACAGGCTGCTGCGTACAATCACACGCAGCACCTGTCCTTCTCGGGAGCGGCCTGATACGGCAGTGTGAATGAGGCCTGAATTTCAAGTGTTGTTGCAAAGGGTCTGAATACTTATGTACATGTGATATTTCAGTTTTTTCTTTTTAATAAATTCACAGACATTTCTAAAATTCTGTTTACACTTTGTCATTATGGGTACTGAGTGTAGATTGATGAGAACAAAAAAAGAATTTAAACTGTAGGCTGCAACATAACAAAATTGAAAAAAGTTAAGGGGGTCTGAATACTTTCTGAATGCACTGTATGTACACAAATATATATATATACAGTAATACCTTGGTTTACAAGTAACTTGGTTTGAGACCGTTTTGCAAGACAAGCAAACATTTCTGAAAAATGTTGCCTTGATATACAAGCAAATGTCTTGGAATAAGAGCAAAATTTTGTAGAAAAGCGCCACCGAATAAGGCTGTAGCAGTGCGAGCGATGAGTCTGTTTAACAACAATGCAATGTGTCACATTGAATAGATTCCTTGTTAAGGTTTCACGAAATGAAAAAGATTCCATTGAGCCGAGAGATAGCACTGATTCCGTTAGTGACAGTGAAAGTCGTCCTACACAATAATCCTCCTCTCTCTTGTCCCCCTCACACCAGCCACGAAGGTACCGGTAATTGGTTTATTTTTCTTTATATTTTATACAGTATTATATTACAGTACAGTATTGTAATCATTGTTATATGAATATTTTTGTGTTGTGGAACGAATCATCTGAATTTCCATTATTTCCTATGGGGAAATTCGCTTTGATATACAAGCGCTTTGGATTACAAGCATGCTTCCGGAACGAATTATGCTCTTAAACCAAGGTATTACTGTATATATATATTATACATATTATACAACTAATCCATATCCTCATGCAGCTTAATTTTATTGAATGTCTAAGGAAAACCCCTGCTAAACAAAAAAAGTGAACCTGCAAAATTACTGCTATACCCATTTAGTAACTTCAGGAATAGCAGTACATTAACAACATATCCGCATATTGTTGGCATCCTAAATAACTACCCCTGTTGGTGTCTAACCAGGGGTAGTTATTTAGGATGCCAACAATATGAGGAAGGACGATTTTATCTCGTCTTTTTAACATGTGATTTTACCTTATGTATCAATAAAGATGTATTTTTTTATATTCATGTGAAATGACCATGAGTTGTGTTTTTTGATACCAAAAAGAAGCCCCGTTATCTTTTCAATTGTTGATATCTTTAATCTTCGGTGTGTGGTATCCTTTAGTCTTACAAACAATCCCTGAGGTATTATTAGTACATTAACAACATGTTGGTGTAAAGAATTTCAATGCTCCTGCAAACTGTCAATACTAGCGCTAAAATGTTCTATTTTGTGCAGTGTGCGGGCCCGGTCAGCACCACTTTATTCAACAAAAGTCAATTTTCAACGTAATGGTCTGCATAACTGGAGGTGTGTAAGGGGTGCGTCCATGGCCTGAACACATTGTGCTGGAAGGTGTTACTCTTTCTCATCTCAGATATTTGGGAGTTATTCCATATGCCCATTTATACATGTTTAAAAGATCACAATATAAATGCTTTCTAAGATTATAAATATTGGCTTAACTTTTTTTTTTTTTTTTACTAAATAACAATTCATCTAAAAGTACTGATTCCTGGCACCATATGGTAAACCAAATGTAAAATGCAGGGGACAAAAAAAAAAAACAAACAAACAGATTTTGTAGTACTTTTTAAAAACAAAGCCACCTATGGAGACAGAAAATGAGGGCAGCTAAGGAAATATGGGCAGTTGTGGTATGCTTTGGTAATGTATGATGTGAGTAAAGTGCTGAGGTAGACTCAGGTAAGGAGGACTGGGGACATATCCAAAAGGAAGGTGCTGATTTAGAGCAGATGTCCAACCACATCATGTGCTCCTAGATGTTAAATTGCTGGTCTGCTGTTTATTGAAAAAATAAAATAAAAAGCGCTCAGTTGAACAAAAACCGTGTTTAA